CTTGAGGGGATAGAAGGAGTTCTCTGCACTTCTCCTCCTTATAGCCATGGGCCGCCATTTCCCTGAGAACTGATGAAGCCCGATACGGCTAGGGTCACTCAGACCTACCGGAACAGGGGCTGATTCAGTTCGAGTTCTCGCCGTTGAAGATCCATCTCCATTCTGTCCTCTTCCGTTGTCAACTTAGTGAACCAAATCTGCTTCTCCTAAAAAGGCAGACTGATCACCTATCGATAGCTGAGGCCTACCAGTTCCTCATCCATAGCAACCCTCTTCTGTCGCATTCGACGCTTTTCTTCCTCTTCGTCCTTCAATGCCTCTATGGCGACCTTGTGGTTTTCTTCTCCCTGACCGACTAACAATAACCACCAATCAGGACTTCTATTATACGTTCACCTGTCGCTTATTCACAGCTTCCTCGACTTCCTTGACTTTCGCTTTCTGTCTTATCTGTCTCGGACAGATTATTGAATCCCGTGAGCACAGTTGTTCACCTGTTGTGAGAGGCCCTCCAATATCTCCCTCCTCGTCTCCTCCTGACGAACACGTTTATTAGCCTCAGCCTAGGACAGAGACTCCCTTCTAACTGGGGCTCCTGCGTAAAATACCAACCTTTCGATAAGCTATCTCAGCTGCCTGCAACTGAGCCTCTAGCCGACGGTTTTCCTCCTCTTCTCGTCGCTGAACGACACCATATCAATATACATTATCAAGAGATACAGGTATACTGTAGTGGGAAATAATTGCTAAATTTATACTGGAAAGTGATAGTCGAACTATGCTGGCCTATCATAAATCATATCAACTATTCTAAACTACAAAATTTCGGGGCGAGTAGGGCCAGTCATTTCGAATGTGCGTACGTACGAATTACTTCTCCTCAATCAGAATGAATCCCAACACGAGAACCAATCGGGAGGCTCCCCAGAAGGACGGGAAACGTATTCTTGCATGAAAAATGTCGAGTTTGGAACCCGAGACCTATCGCAATCTACAAAGTCGAGCACAACAGACAGTCGAGAAGGCCTAGTAAATATGAACACTTATAACATAGCAATGCATACCATCAAAACAATAATAATAAATATGAAGAAAATTCGGAGGGCGACTGGTGTCTCACTTTGGCATTTTCACTCAAGTCCTTTCCGATACTGCGAGCCACTTTCTCGAGTCGATCAGCCAAGTGGGCCCGAAACTCTTCCTTCGCCTTCTCGTTAGCCTCAGCTGCTGCAATCTACGTCACAAGAGTGCTG